ATATGAAATTGATTCAGCTCTCTGAAGGAACTTTTTCTGCCATGCAGAAAAGTACCACGACCTGAACAGAGTTTCCTATGGTAGTACCAAGCTATCCTTGCTCATTGACCAAAATCGAAAATATTTTTGGTCCAAGCAACTTCTTTGAGCTTGAAACATTGAATGGTGTGCTTTCAAGTTGTGGTCCTTGAATTGTAAGGTATGTATGAATGTGTAGGGCTTGAAATATGACCCATGTTCAATCCCCTTTTTGCATTGTACAGATGGGTTCTTTCTAGGTTAGGTATCTGCTGGCTGCTTGCTTGTCTCTGATATGTTTTGATTCCTTGGTGGGACAGATAAGCTCATCAAAACTGTGTATGAGCAACAATTATGGTGCAAAGAAGATAAAATCCTACCTAGGACCTATAAATTTCCTAGGGTTTATAGCATTGTGCAGATAGCAAAAAAGACATCTTAGGTCCATGCTGCAGAGACAGAGGACATCCATTGAGGCCATATAAAGCAGCTTTATCTCTCAAAAAAACTGCGGATGCATCTGCAACTGTGTTTTTAGCTGCTGCGGATGCTTGTGCGGATGGTTCAAATACCATCCATGCCCTGGAAAGCAGGCTGCAGATGCATCTGCACTGCATGCTTTTCAGCTGCTGACAATTCAGGAAGGGCCATTGTGCATGCACTGGCCATGGCAGGCAATGGTGTACAGGTTGAACAGTCTGCATAACCCATGCTGAGCAGGGCCTGCCCCAATTCCCTGATCTGATTCTGGAAAGCAGGTGGCAGATGCCTCTGCATTGCACACTTTTTAGCTGCTGCACATGCAGGAGGAGCCTGGCTGTGTGTACTAATGATAGTAGGCAATATTGTATGAGTTGAACAGTCCAAAGGGCTCATGCTAAGCAGGACCTGCCCCAATCTGGCCCAGAACAGCATGCAGCAGAGGCATCCACACTGCATGCTTTCAAGCTGCTTTGGACACAGGAGGAGTCTGGATAGATGCACTGACCATGGCAGGTGATGCTGTGCAAGTTGAACAGTCCACAGAGCCCATGCTCAGTAGGGCCTGCCCAAAACTGGCCCAGGACAGCATGCAGCAGAGGCATCCGCACTGCAATGCAGAGTATTCGCACAGCAATGCAGAGTATCTGCACAGCCCAAGCACTGAATTGGTTCAACTGCCATTCATTTTTTGCTGTATACAGAGGAGCTTGAAGGAGCTGGGATCATTTGGAAGCACATACATCTGCTACAGAAGGCTCAAGTCTACAGTGAAGCAATGCATAGAGGCTATAAATAAAATAATGAAAGAACAAGAAATGCAGAGGGCTCCTCACTGGATCAGAGTCACATGATACAGACTGCAGACAACCTGCATGATGGCATCACAGTGATCATGGGGACAGCTGGGTGCAGATGGATCCGCAGCTTGTTTAGGGCAAGTTGCGGAGGGATCTGCAGCTGCTTATAGGGCAAGATGCGGATGCTTGGCACTGATTTGCGGAGCTTTGGTGTGGAGAATGGCCAAAGGTGTGGAGGGTCCCCCTCTACTAGGGGGTCAAACTGGGTTGATTTAACCCCCTAGGAGGGGGGGGGGGTACTCTCTGCGGTGGATGTTCCTTAGGTGGCTCTGTGCCAGATGGCAATCAGGAAAATGATATAGTCAGAGCCTAGATGAGAGAGGTCAATGGCGAAACTGCCAAAATAGGGTATGCCCACCTGTGGTCCCACTGAGTATCCATGGGCCCACCCACTGTCCCCAGCATTCTGGTTCCCAGTGCCCAGGTCCTGCTTAGGTCAATTATCCACCATGTGTCAGGGGAACCCCTGCTTTCATCTGATCATTGTAGGATCTTGCATGTGACTGCGCATGCACCATCTGTCAAGTGCCACATGCTTTGGCCCGGACTTCCCTGCCAAGCACGTCCACATGACCCTCTGACCCGGACCCCCATTGTTCCGACAGCCCAGCTCCCATTGTTCTCCCTGATCCGGCCCCTCATTGTTCCCTGGCCCCATTGTTTGGTGCTTCCTATTGTGCTTGGTCATCCATTGTTCTTTAGGCTATATATAGTGGGCTCTGTCAGGGGAACCCCCACTTTGGACCAATCAGCCTGGGATCTGGCATGTGATCATGCTCATGTGACCTGTCAGCTGTCACACACAGCGGCCCAGACTGCCGCGCCAAGCGCTTCTCTTTGATGGCAGGTGCTGCCATGGTTCCTATTGTCTCCACTTCCTATTGTTCTGTCATGGCCATTGCACTTATTGTTCCTATTGTTCTTGTTTGTCGCTGCGTGGTCTATTGTTCCTGTATCATATAAATAGTGGCGCCTGGCAAGGAGAATCCCCAACACAGTTTCTCTTTGGACTCTCCCTTGTGAGGACTCTGAGATCGGGCCTCGAGGTTGCCCTTACACCATGTATTAATTGACCTAAGTAGGTATGGGTGGGTACTGTCCAAGGTGAAGCAGATGCATCGGTTCGCCAACAGTAACTGTGGCATTGCTGCCCATACAATTCCGGTCATGGATCCCATTGGCTGGCAGCCAAGATCAAACAAGGCAATATTGACAAAATTTTGTCGCTCAGCCTCATGCTTGATGGTGAGGATCCTGCTGCAATTGTCCTCAGAGCCGAGATCCTTGACTTTGGGCTTGATTATGACTGGATGCCGCTCTCCATTTTTTGTATACACAAATAATGCCCCCAAAACAGTCCTCTGTTGTACACCAGGAGGTAAAGGAGGACTTGGCGGCTGAAGGTCCAATCCTTCTGCAGGCAGTAGTGGCAACGGTTGCTGGCGCACAATGGCTTTGCCATCGCCCTGGTGGTAGTTGTTGCACATGTGGAACTGGCTAGAAACAGTTCAGAACTAAGCTCAAAACAATGACAGACAACTTACTATGAAAGCACAGATGCAACATCAAGAATGCTCTGGTTGCTAAGCGATCCACCAGCCTTGAGCTCAACCTCCTCCGCAAACTGCTCAAAAGTTAGAGAACATTTCAGTCACAGTACTGGAAGACCTACACATTCATCGTCCAGAGGTGGAGTTGAGATGACACAAGCAAGCTTGCCATCAGTACCAACAAGACCACTGGTCAAGTACATCTTTGCGTCCAAATGCAACCTGCTATGCATGTAACCAAACTAAAGCATATCTTATTAGTAGTTGCGCAGATGCATCAGTGATGGTACATACAAGTGACTTGAAGAGCTTGATGCACTTGCGGAAGTCGCCCACATGTTCTGATTTTGTCTGCTCCAGCATAACAGAATTGAGCTTTTGCCACTTGTCCAAGGTCTCCTGCCATCTGGGTGTCTTTTGAAACTTGACCCAGCCAGCTTCACCTGCTGGGAGTACTCGAGGTCTGGCTCAACAGATTGAGGAAGCAGCTTTGCAAAGCGCTCCTGATTGGTGTCAAAGAGAGTCATGAAGTTGTTCCAGTTGTTCAGGGAACGGGAATAGGGAATCTTGAACGCCTGGCAGAGATGATGCATGATGTGCTTGCTTGAGATGTTGTTGAGCTTGCCAATGTAGCCCACAAAGGCCAGAAACCATCAGAGACCTTCCACAAGCTTCTCATGGGCTTTATTTGTCATTTGCTCTCCATAGCGGTGATAGGCTGGCCACCAGACGTGCTCTGCACCAGCTCTATAAGGGCATATTTTTGCGCTTTTACAGAGTTTACTCTTGAACCACTCAGTGTATCGTGTTGCGGTTGACAGTGTTGCGCTCAGTAGGACTTAAGGGTCTACCGCCCAGTCAACGACTGTGGATAGTGTCGACAATAGCAAGGCAGTCAGACCACTACTGTGGAATTGGTCTTATAAGTCTATACCAGACTCAGGGCTATTAGTGACAAACACTTGTGCTGTGACAATTCCCCAAAAGGGATACTTTGTTGCGGCAACTCCTCAAAAGGGTCATTCTCTGCAGATGAAAACTCGGGCTGGCGGGCTTAGCAACGTGCAACGTGCTCAACATAACAACTACTACTACACAGGACTTGGTGTTACAAGATTGAACCAATCTTGTCGCAGTAACTCCCGGCTTTGGTTTGAATGCTTCCTTAGATCACTTGTCACATGTTGTGTTCCACTCAATCACGGGATAGTGTGGACGCGTGGCGGTGACACTTCAGAGTGTCACAGTGAGTCGTGCCCATACCCAAACATGCTAAAAGTGATATGGGCTAGCTCCGTGAACCAAACCATGTGAGGAACATCTGGCATGCCTAGGACCATACGGCTTCTTGGGGCACCCACGTTGGACTCACTTGCCAAGACATACCTGTCGGCCAATCCAGCACATCATATTCCAAAAGTATGACATGGTGGGTTGACCCACATCAAAAGTACCATATGAACAATGCGGCAGGGTCCTGATCAGTCAAGACCTGTCTGATCGTTCAACCTTTTCATTACCATAAAAAGCAACCGATCTTAGATAGTGTAGCTACTATGCAGTTGTACAGGACTTTACTAAGCACCATTGTAGACAGTATAAGTAGTGCATCGTTTCTTTGTATTGGGGAGCTTTCCCCCAGACTGTGAATCATACCCATATCGGATTGTTTTGTACAATTTGCATGTCACATGATTCCGCCTTAAGAAGTTCTATTATCCCTGCCCAGTCGCAACAAGTTGCTTCCTGAGCACTTGTAGCTACTGTGATTTGAGTTTTGAGTTGAGACATCAGAAAGTCGGATCCGCTGCTTCTGTTTTGTTGCGGCACTTAGTGTCGTTGCCTCTGGGCTTCGTTGAGATTGTTTCCACACCTCTAGTTTGGCAGTGCGTTGACTAGTTGTGCTTGGGTAGTTTTGGTCAGTTGGCAGTTTGTTGACTTGAGAACGTTGGTTCCACACTTCTTGCTTGGCAGTGCATCGACAAGTTGTGCTCGGGTTTTGGACATTGGACATTGGCTGTTAGTTGGCAGTGCATTGACATGGCATTTTGGTTTTACTAGTTGGCAGTGCGTCAACTCAGTACTTTGGTTGTGGATGCATTGAGTGAGAGAGGGAGATCAATGCATCATCTTGTGAGGGAGAGAGCCGAAGAGCAGGGGGTGGCTGTGAGCTCACTCTCTCCTTCCACCCACCTGCCGGCAATCTCATCCTCAACAAATTCCCATTTCTGCGCTCATTTTATACACTCTTTTATGGTTCTATACGACTGACTCACACCAAGAACTTGACAGTGTCTGCATGCGCTCTGTGAACTATGGAATCTGTCTCAAGCTCGAAATTTGGATGCTATTTGAGAGTGTCTCTGGGCCTACACCCCAATTCCATGCATGAAGCTGAGTATTCCCCTCTCTTCTCACAGTTGGAGCTTGACATATACACTGCTCGTTGACTCGATCCTGGCATTAGAACAACACCGTCTACATCCCCCAGCCTTCAGAACCCTCCCCTTTCTGCCCATTTCGAGCTGCCAACCCCCCCTGATCTTCTAGACAGTGATCCCAGTCCATTCCTTCGAATTCTGGCCGCCCATTTGCTACAAAATCCCCTGCCCCATACCCTGCAAGCTGCGAATGCCTCTTTGCTTCAGATGCACGCTTATTCGGGTTTCCCTCCTTCTCTCATTGGGCGCTCAAATCCTGCGATTTAATCGCACCCAGAGCGATATTATCGCATATTTTTGATCTTTGGGGCTCTTTCCATTGTCTGACTACGCTGCAGGGTTTATTTCGCGGTCAGCCCTCATTCTGGACCAGCAACAATCTTCCCCCCTGTGGCCTGCAGACTGGAGCCAGGTTTTTGCTTCAGTTCCAGTGCTTATTTGCTTTTCCCTCCCAATCATATTGGGTGCTCATTTCCTGTGATTAAATCGCACCCAGTGCAAGATTATGGCATATTTTCGGTCTTTTTTGGTTCCTGGCGTTGTCTGACAACGCTGCAGGGGTATTCCACAGCCACTCGTCATTCTGGATTGTTTTTCCTGGACCAGACGCTGCTCGATTCCACATAGCGTCAATATTTACTTAGCATTTGTGCATATCGTGTGCTGCGCATATTCTATGCCCTTCCTGTGGTGCATATCGTGCAGCTTTCGACCGTGCATAGCCTGCACTTGCGCATATCATGCGCTGCACATATTCTGCATTTTTTTGGCATGCATATCATGCATCTTTCGACTGTGCATAGCCTGCACTTGTGCATATCCTGCATATTTCCTTTGATGCATATCGTGCTTTTTCAATAGCCTGCACTTGCGCATATTCTGCATATTTTCTACTGGGCATATTGTGCATTTTTGATGGTGCATAGCCTACACATTTTCCAAAATGCATATCGTGCATATTTCGACTGCATATTGTCCATATTTTGATGGTGCATTGCCTGCACATGCTCATATCATGCACTGGGCATAGCCTGCACATTTCTGGCCTGCATATCATGCTTATTTCGACTTTGATTAGCCTAGAATTGCGCATATCCTGTGTTTTCCTGCGGTGTATACCATGCATTTTTGACAATGCATAGCCTGCATCTGTGCATGTTGTGCGCTGTGCATAGCCTGCACATTTCCGGCATGCATATCATGCATAATTCGACTGCATATTGTGCATTTTTGACAGTACATAGCCTGCACATGCGCATATTGTGTACTGGGCATAGCCTGCACATTTTCCGGCGTGCATATCATGCATATTTTACTGACACACAAGTTGTGCTGCTTTCTTTGGGTGAGCCGGCGTTGTTCTGGCTGGGCAGCACATTTTGGGGTCATCCGCACCCCGCCGGCTTTGCGCCCTGGGCTCAGCTCCCACACCCAATCACACTACTGTTGTGCAACACAGTATTTCATTTGATGGAATGTCTGGCCACTGAAGGCTCAACTGAAGAAGATCTTCCCGTGCTTTCATCTTGTGAAGAACAGACAGCTCTTCTTCAAGCTTATCTAGGTTATGGAGGTTAATCTCGAATTCAAGCACGAGGCGTTGAAGAGTGAAGGATAGGTTGTTCATAGAATCTTTGAATGCATTGATTATGACCTCTGCTCTTGGTTTTGTCCAAGGCATGAGCCAATTCCACAGCCTGGAGGCAACGTGCTCTTCTGCAGCTTTGATGGTGTGCAGAGCGTAATTGTTTACTGCCATGATCCTGGATAGATGTATAAATGACTGAAAGAAAAAGCTTCATCTGGCTTACCCATCCACCGCACCAGAAACTTTTGCATTCAACTTATGCAATGAGCACCCAGTGGTTCATGCGTTGTCAACAAAGGTACAAAGCACATTGCCCAATGCATCTCAACTCGTGAGCTTGCTCACTCCAACCAATGTTACTAGATCAGTTGTTGCCATCTCTGCTTTCTTCATTTGTAGTGCTAGGGAGGAACCAGAGCTTGCCTCATCCAAGAGCTGCTCAATTGTCAAAGTCTGCAGGTTGACCAATGTCAGGAAATCTGCCCATTTCAGAGATTCCTGGGCAGACAGAGAGCTGAGAGGCACACAGACCACGGATGTACTCAGCCCCGGGATCCAACAAATAGGTCAAAACACAGTGCCAATGATTTGTGTTACGGTCTCTAACAGAAAGGCAAGCATCCACAGGAACAGAATGAATGTCAAGGGAATGCATAGTGTAAGGGCAACTCCTGCCAGCCTGAAGGAAGAGAGCACACAGCACACAACATCCTCACATGAGTCTGAGCACAGAGGGGGATCCTTAGAGACTATCAAATACAAGGGAGGTATACTACTCACCTGAGCACAGAGGGGGATCCTTAGAGAACGGTTCAAGGATTCATGTGCCCAGGTGTCACACTATATAGTCAGCTGTGACAAGTGACTGATGATGATGGGATATCACTGCCATGGAACAATAGCAGATGACAAGTAGATAATGACAAACCCAGATAAGATAGTGAGTGGCTCAGAGGGGCCAGTGATGGCCAGCTCCTGAGACACCAACAGTGGAAGGCCACACTGGAGGAGCCCAGTGGCTAGGCCAGTGCTGGGCCAGCCAGTGGGGACATTGGAGGCGAGGACCAATGCCCGACTGGGAAGAGGGGTGGTGCGGATGAGCGCAAGGGCATCTGGTACAAGCCTGTACAGCAGTAGACCACATCCGCGGGAAGAAGGCCAAAGTAGAGGGGAAGGAGTGCGTACGGCAGTAGCACTCCCTGGTGCAAGGAATCGGGCTTGGCTAGACCGCTTGCGGGGATTTGAGGGAGATGGCCGGGGGAAGGAGGAAGAGGGCGGATGTTGGCATGGATGGAGATGAGGATTGGGGGAGGAGGAGGAGGCTGGGTGATCGACAGGTGAGCAGGCACGGGTTGGCAGAGAGGGTGTAGTGGGTCACGTGCATGGTCACGTGCCTAAGGAGCACAGTGTCCCCTGACACGTAGAAGCAGAATTGCCCCCTTGAAGACTTTGAAGATATACCAGCCAGCAGAGGCGCCACCATCTACAATGTGTTGCATGGTAATGACCGGATGTGTCTCACGTGAACAAGGCATTTGACCTGGGCCCTCGAATGCATCTTTCAGAAAATTGTCTCCTACTTGTAGTGTGCTCGACATTGACTACTGAGTATTGGGCAATGCCAGCAATGAGAGTAAGACAGACGGTTTTGGTGACAAACACCAAAAGCCAAGAGTGTGGTAATCAGAGGCCAGTGAATATTCCAGTGACAAACACCTGGAATCTGTAAGGGAAACCTCGAGACCCGATCTCAGAGTTCTGGCAAGGGAGAATCCAAAGTGTTAATAGTGGTAGCTAGGTACAAGACCAGCATACCTGGCAAGGGAGAATCCAAAGAGAAACTGTGTTGGGGATTCTCCTTGCCAGGCGCCACTATTTATATGATACAAGAACAATAGAGCGCGCAGCAACAAACAAAGAACAATGGGAACAATAAGTACAATGGCCGTTTGGAGAACAATAGGAAACCAAGACAGTGGGAATGATGGGACACCTGACCATGTGCCCATCAGAGAGAAGCGCTCGGCATGGCAGTCCGGGCCATGGTACGTGACAGCTGACAGGTCACGCAAGCGCAATCACATGCCAGATCCCAAGCTGATTGATCAGAAGAGGGGGTTCCCCTGACAGAATCCAAGATGTTTAGAATGCTTTTGGTAGCAAACACCTGAAAGCTGTGGTGGTGGTAGTGGATAAAGGACAATTAATGTTCGATGGCTGGAGATGGATGATCTGTGATCTGTCAATCAATCATGTGATGTGTCAATCTTCTGTCCCTATTCCAAGTCCGTCCCTTACCACCACCATGTCTTCAGGTGGGAAGCATGGAAAACAGGCACTCAGGCGTTTGCCGCCGAGTTCCTCTCATGAACTGACGTGTTTGCTGCACAGTTCATTGAGCTCCTTGCCTAGCATGTCACCCATGGATACATCTCATTGTCCGGTCCCTGTCGTCCATTTGAATGATTGCAAGAGGGACACACTCAGTGTGAGTGTACCTCACATGTTGTGCCCCTATGTTTGTACTAACATAGCCCAAGCCCACATCGCACTTTCACAGTGTTGTTTGTAACAACATTGGGGTCTTCTTTGTCTTCAATGCGGACTCTGCCGCCCTTGCTGACATCCCTCACCCCTGCAAGGAGTTTTATAAATATCCGGCACTCTATTCCACATCTTGGGTAACTGTCTTCCATGCATATCTCTGCTGTGGACTGCGTAGCCCGATCACCGACAGAGACCTCCTCTCTGTTCTTGACGTGAATCTCCTTTCTCTGCCAATGAGCAACACAACATTATTGATGGAATTACAGTGGTCAATGTCCCCCGATGTTGCGCATCAATGGACAAGTCTGGAGGGATTCCTGACAAAGGTTGTTGATGCTATATGGTCTCAGGTGCAGCTGCTTGTTCCAGCTTTGCAATGTAGAAGAATGCATGCAAAGCCCATTTCACATGGCTATATGGACACATATCCGGTCAAAGAAGATCTTCTCAGCACATTGTCTCGCTTGAGAGATGCATTCACACCTCTCCTCGCAGCTATTGCCCTTCATTTCCTTGCTCTGGATGGATCCTCCCTGTGTGCTTTGTGGAGGACCACAATCATGCAGCAACTCCATCTCAAGCACAGAATGTTTGATTCATTGGAGGAGGTGGTGCAGAGGCTTCTACGACATCCAGCCGGAATGATCTTGGACCTTAGAGCTCAAAGTTTCCAGATCTTGACTGGCTCTTTGGTCTTCTGTTTACTGGAACTGCGTCTGTGCACCCGCCAATCTACTTCTTCTTGGGTGTATACAAAGAGGCAGTGGAAATGGCATTGCATCTGATCATGCAGAACATCCAGTTGCATGTACAAGACTCAATCCGTGCCTTGAACAATTCACCGCCTGAGCCAGTTTCTGTCAGGGAGTATGTCTTCATCTCAAAGAATGCAAGGCGACATGGTGTATTCACAAATCTTGAATACTACAAGACACTGTGCAAGGAACAATGACAGTTTCCTCCCGTAGAGCTCCACAGTGGCCAGAAGGAGGGTGAGAGTTTCACAGACTTCTTTGCTTGGCGTCAAGTGCGCAAAGTGAGCAAAAGATTCTGGATCTGTCAACTGGTCCAATGCAATTGTGTGGAAGATGAATGGGAAGACTTTGCATGTTTGCAGCGGGTCTACAATTCCGTTGTT